TTACAAGTGCAGGCAAAGTGGCTTTGTGCGCGTTTTCTGTGCGCGAGATGGTCGATCGCACGCCGCCATCTTGCGGCGGCACGGTGCGGGAATAGCCGTGTTCAAAGTCATTGTCCACGGCTGAAGCCGTGGGCAATGACTTTGAACGCGGCTCAGCCGTAGGCAATGGCTTTGAATGCGGCTTATTCACTCACCGCGTCGCCGCTAGATGGTGGCGTAGGAAATTGGCCATTTTCCGCACAGAAAACACGCACACAAAGTGCCACTTTGCCTGCACGTGTAATACAAATACATATATATATATATATAAATATATAAATATATATATGTACTAGCAGAAATAAAAATAAGCAATCAATATCCGTTCCTTCAAAATATATTTTTGATGATATTTGATGTGACAGATGAGCGATAAATTTGTGCTTTTTTAAATCATATGTCTTCGCATGTCTTAAAATAAAAATATTTGCAAGTACCTTTTTATTAAAAAACCGTAAACCTATTTAGAACTGGTTTTTAAATAATATAGTAGTTTAAACTTTGATTAAAGTATATATATATATATATATATATATATATAATAGCTCTGCTCAGATACATTTTATTGTTTTATATATATATATATATAATATAAAAGATAATTTAAAGTTATAATTAGCCTTGGAAGATTTTGATTATTGAACAGCATTTAAAAAATATATAAAGTTATAATAATTTGTTTTATTCTCATTCCTAAAAATTTATTATTTACTACATATGAAAGCTTTAAATATCTTTCATAATACTTGATGAAGAAAAATTTATTTAAAGTAAGTGATAAATGAAGAGGATATTTTAAGCTATATAAGACAAATTAAGGAAAGAAAAGATCGTATTGTAAGACTGAGATTAAATCATTTTAAAATTGCAGATAAAATAGAGTTTCTTGCAAAATTAATGTTTAATTAATTAATTTTAAAATTCATAATTAAGATAGAGAAATACACATTTTTATATTATTTATATTTTTCTATTCCGGATGCAATAATAATGATACAACATATTTTTTAAACAAAATTTTAATTATTTTTTTAGAAACAAATAAATAAATATAAGCTTTTTTGTCAAAAAATGTAAGTTTTATACAATAAAATAAATATAATTTATATTAATTATTTTATAATTCAATCTTTTTCTTAGATTCGAGTTTATGCACTAATATTTCCTTTTCTATTCTTAATTTTAAAACTGTACTTTTAATTTATGCCCTCTTCTAGAAAACATTGTTTCTAAATTTTAATTAAGCTTGATTTTGACTAGTTTAATGGCGTTTTATTTGCATCGCGTTTGCGTAATAAATAAACTACCTTAAGTTTAACTAAGGTTTAATTCTGCCCCCAACAATTGATGGAAAAACAGAATAAAATTAGATTTATGAATTAAATTGCAATTTAAACCATTATCGAAAAACCGGCTCTTAAAGTTGTCCCCATTAATTCCTACCATGAGTAACCACTAGACTAGGGTACAATAATATTTGTCCTGTACAATAGAACAATAGACTACAATAATATTTGTACAATAATATTTGTAGAAAGGTATCGCCCTCCATTCGCCGTTCAAAAACTATTTACACCCTCGAAATAGTATCTTCAAAAGCGCGGCCTAGTTAAGGATGTATGGGAGATACAATCAGAGACAAAAGTATCAACTCTATTCATCTTATAGAAAATCTATTTATCTTATAGAAAATCGCTATAGTTTAATATCTTAATTTTCAGCTGTTTTCAGTGTTGGCATAATCGAATGCTTCTTAATCGGAAAAAAGGCAGAATTTCAACAAATTATTATTCTTTTCTTTTAAATAGTTTAGTAAATGTTAATGTAATTTTGCAACATTGTTCTCTAAAGTTTCAGTTATACATGTAAAAAATACAGGGTATCATTTCTTCGATATTTTTAACGTAATATAATCAATCAGAGTAACGAATTTTCGAGAGATAAAACTATGTAAATTCATCTTACAATAGATAAAGATGATTTTGTTTTAAATATATCTAGATAAAAGATAAAATTATATGGCGATTAATTTAGATAATTTTCTACGCAGTCATAAAAATATTATCTGGAAATTATCTAGATAAATCGCCATATATAATTTTATCATTTACCTAACCATCTTCATCTTATCTAAGATAAATTTACATATTTTTATCTCATCTTTATCTAGCTAATTTTAAAATCATCTAAGCGCAACACTGATATAAATAACACATATTTTTATTATCTATAATCTATACAAAGATGACGCCAAAAGTTTCATCTAGATAATCATATATATAATTTTTTCATAGATAACAGCAGTTATCTAGATGAATCGCCATATATAATTTTATCTTTCACCTAGATAAACAAAACCATCTTCATCTTATCTAAGATAAATTTACATATTTTTATCTCATCTTTATCTAGCTAATTTTAAAATCATCTAAGCGCAACACTGATATAGATAACACATATTTTTTTATCTATAATCTATACAAAGATGACGCCAAAAGTTTCATCTAGATAATCATCTATATAATTTTCTTTATAGATAACAGCAATTATCTAGATGAATCGCCATATATAATTTTATCTTTCACCTAGATAAACAAAACCATCTTCGTCTTATCTAAAATAAATTTACATATTTTTATCTCATCTTTATCTAGCTAATTTTAAAATCATCTAAGCGCAACACTGATATAAATAACACATATTTTTATTACCTATAATCTATACAAAGATGACGCCAAAAGTTTCATCTAGATAATCATCTATATAATTTTTTTTATAAATAACAGCAAACACTGTCTCCCATACATCTTTAAACGCGGACGTCATATTCTTCGACAGTCTCGGCCATCATCCCTCATTGAAGAGAGCGAGATAGAGAGACGGCGTAAATGTAAAGTGGATGTGTTCGCGAGCCCCGGAATTGCGGCCGGGTGTAGCATGAATCGGTACAGCTTAATTGGCAATTAGCATGCCGCCGAATGAAAATATCTGGAGTCGACAGGTGTGGCTGCTTAATTCAATCGGCACATCTCGAAAGTTTCGATCTCCGCCGCTTTCACCAACCTCCTCCCTTTCGATTTGCTTTCCACCCGCCATCACAATCGGATGTGACTCGAGCCCGGACTCGAATCCAATCCGCTCTCGGAGAAAGAGAGAAAGAGAGAGAGAGAGTATACCGATTCTTTATTTGTACCCGGTGCCCTTTTTCTCTTCTCTCTCTGGCTCGTTGCATCGTCTCTCTTTATCCTGATCCGTCTTATGGCTGTGCTTCTCTCGCGAGAATCTCTCCCGAGGGAAAGATTCGCTACCGAGGGTGTAGTTATCGGTTCCCCGGGGCGTTTCGACCTTTTTATCCCTCTCCTTCAACGTCTCATTCCGAACAAGCTCGAAACCGACACGTAACTCACGAAAGTGTCATTGGAAAGTTGACTTGACTCTCGGCTATTATATCGGGATATATCTTGTATATATCGTTCCTGTTTCTCTCTTTTTCTCTCTCTCGGAGAAAACGATGTCAGGATTGTATTTCTCAAGCGTAAATCGGTCTCGTTATTCAGCCCGATTGGAATGCAAGGATTTTAATTGGCGCGAATAAGTGGCAATTTTTTTCTTCTTTTCATCTTGGAGGAAAAACGACGTGAACGAGAGTGTCATCTCAATTATTAAAGACTGGAAGAATTCTTATTCGCGATTCTTATATAAGTGAGACACCTCTTTCTTTAATAGATTTCTATATACTCATACAGAAGTCATTTAACTTGAATAAATGGTGAAATATATATTGCTATATAAAAAATTGTTTAAATAAATATAGTCATTTTTTTGCAACCTTGATTTTTAATCGAGATATGAAGGTTATCTTAAATGTTTTAATGTTTAAAAATTAAATATTTTTCAATGTTTTAATGTATAGAATCATGCTACGTTTTTTTTTTATATATAAATAGATTCCTCGCAATATTAACCATATAAAATTATGAGAGTAAAATGGTCAAAAAATACATAGAGTTTATGAGATATTTTAAGTTAATTTAACATAATTTTGCAAAAACTATAAAATATCTTGCAAAATATTGTTTGATGATAAAAAACACATAATTAATAAACAATATGTAAATTATTCAAAGCTGTCAAGTTATATTATTTACCTTGTATAAAACCAACATTAACAATTGACAAAGACCAACTTTGCGACCTTTTGTTAAAATTTTTCAATTTAGACTTCAAGCGGAAAATGAATATAAATTCGGACTAATTGAAACGGAACTCGTACAACTTCCGATTCAATCGAGACTTTTTTTTCAGCGCGGGAAAAACTCACGTTTATACAAATTTACGAATTCACAGAGAGAAAATACAGCTAAAGGACACAAAGTGTCTCCCTAAGCTTTATAAATGAAAGTTCGAAACAGCTCAACGAAATTGAGTCTGACATCGCGTTATCCTTGCTCTCTCGGTCCCTTCTCCTTTTTCCTTTTTTTATTTTAAAACTCCTCGGTCGACTATTAATTAACGACACAACGATGAGCCGGGGATAATAAGCGCCATAGCTCGATCGTTAATTACGCGCGTCGGGGGAATTACGTACAAATCGAGTCCGCGTTAAAACAAACGCGGTGTTATTAGCAAATAGGTCCCGATTAATCGAAGCACGTAGAGAGACCGGAGAGATAAAGTTGGCGCCTCTCTCTCCGGGATTAGCCCGGAGCGAGTCCTTGGTTGTGTATCCTCGGTGTTTTACGAAAGTGCCGGAACAAAAATGAAAGCGACAGGTCGGAGTGGAAGAAACGGGAACGAGAATAGGTGGCTTTTGTACGCGGGAGGCCGCGAGATAAAAGATACGGGACACGCCACGAGGGTAAGCCACGAGAGAGGGATAAGAAGCGGCTACTTACAGCTTATACTCGAGGAGAGATCTCTTGTGCGCGAGCGTTACTTTTTCTTATTTTTCTCTTTCTTACCGTCGTGTGCTTTAGTTGTCTTCTCCGGCCCTTGTACCAAGTTATCACCGCGGGTGGCCTTGAACCAGTAGTCTCGCACTCCATATCGTATCGCTTCCCCGCCAGGAGGGACTCGTTGCCGATTCCCTTCCTGCCCGGCCTTCTTATGACCACAGCTAGAGGTTTTACTAGAAGAAAAAGAGAATAATTCTTGAGAATATTGTTTAGCTTTATTATGCGTAGAGCCTTAAGGGGATCCTAAATGATCTCGAAAAGTTTGTTTTTTTTCTGTTTTATCGACAAAATGTGAGGTTACTATAATAGTATATTGTGTATCAAGTGCGGAAAGTTGACAATTGGTCACGAGTGCGGGGGATGGACGCACGAGCCGAAGGCGAGTGAACAATTGTCAATCCGCACTTGATACACACGATATTTTGTATTACAAGTGTAGGCAAAGTGACTTTGTGTGCGTTTTCTGTGCGCGAGGTGGTCGATCGCACGCCGCCATCTTGCAGCGGCACGGTGTGGGAATAACCGTGTTCAAAGTCATTGTCCACGGCTGAAGCCGTGGGCAATGACTTTGAACGCGGCTCAGCCGTAGGCAATGGCTTTGAATGCGGCTTATTCATTTACCGCGTCGCCGCTAGATGGCGGCGTGGGAAATCGGCCGCTTTCTGCACAGAAAACACGCACACAAAGTGCCACTTTGTCTGCACGTGTAATACAAATCTATTTATTGGCTATACGGATTCTTTTTTACCTAAAATTAGACCAGGCTGGATTTGGCATTGAAGAAAAAAATATAAGTAAATGTTTAGATATCAATTTGGAAGCCTAGTAAACGAGAATAGCTCATCCTACATTTTCGTGCACACAAGAAAATATAGGATAAGTAATTCTCGTTTATTAGGCTTCCAAATTGATGTCTAAACATTCACTTATATTCCTTTATCCAATGCCAAATCCAGCCTGGTCTAATTTCAGGTAAAAACAAGCCGTATAGCTAATAAATAAATTTTGTATGATTTATCACATTTTGTCGATAAAACAGGAAAAAAACAACAGATTTCTCAAGGACATTTAAGAGCCTCTTAAGGAGATCCTAAACGTTTCCCACCGACACATTAACGTTATGTAAACGTTTAACAAATGTTTTATCGTTTGTTAACCTGCAAATGGTTTGTTCCTTTAATGATGAGAATATCCGTGTAGAACAGTAAAAATCCAATGACTTATATCACTCGAAGAATTGTGAGTTTTTATATTTTTTAGTGCATAGAGAATATTGATGTGTTCAATTAAATTTGCAATCTTTTAAAACTCTATTGAATAAGCCTCAATAATGAATGGTAAGTATTATAACGTTTGACTAGATGGACATTTACATGTTTTATGAACGGTTCTTGAGAAGTCTGTTGTTTCTTTCCTGTTTTGTCGACAAAAAGTGGGTTAGATAAACTATAAATCTATTTATTGGCTATACAGATTGTTTTTACCTGAAATTAGAACGCTTTGCCCTTTATTGTTAATATTAATACTTTAATTTGTACAGAAAGGAGAGAGAGAGAGAGAGAGAGAGAGAGAGAGAGAGAGAGAGAGAGATTTATCAATCTGTATAGTCTCATATATCTTGATTACAGAATTATTAATTCTTAGAATAATTATGAATTTTTAGAATTCATAATTCTGTAATCAAGATAGATGAGACTATACAGATTAATAAATCTTTCCTTCCTGTACAAATTAAAATATTAATATTAACAAAGAACGAAGTGTTCTAATTTCGGATAAAAAACAATCCGTGTAGTCAATAAATAGATTTATAGTTTATCTAACTTCATATTTTATCGATAAAATAGAAAAGAAACAACAGATTTTTCTTAAGGACGTTTAGGATCCTTTTAAGTCAGGCTACAATTTATTAGTGTATTCTGCAAAATTTAATCATTTCTTGGATACGCAACCAAACATTTCTTTAAAATGCCCTCTGTATAAAATTAATGAATATTTAATTATATTATAATATAATTTTTTATATAACATATAATTAAATTATAAATAATTATATGTATATAAATGAGAAATAATATTATATAGTCAATTTTTAAAATTATAATTAATTTTTTATTTAACATTTATTTAACTCATACTTTTTTAATTAACATAAATTGCCAATATTTAATAATTTATTAATTTACCATTTTTGCACACATATATAGTTTTTATTTTTCTTAAATGCAATCTCTGTCTCTTGCTAGAAATCATTTTTTATAATATAAAAAATTAACTACTTTTCTTTCAAAATTCTAATCATTTCCAAACAGAATTCCGGCTCAAATGAATTTAAGACGTTAATAAAGTTAACTTTGCGTATTTTGTAAAAATTCCTATTAATAAAAACAAAAATACTCGATATTTAAATTTTTTACATAACTAAAATTAACAGTATTCAATAGTCTCAATTAATTTAACATCTCTATATATAAAGTTTTCTGATTTTAATTTTCTTGAACTCAATCTCTGCCAAGGATCATCATTTTTCATAATAAAAAATTTACTTGTTTTTCTCTTCAAAATGTTATATGTATAAATATTTCTAAAAATTCCGCTGAGCTAAATTTAATAAAGTTGACTCGATATATCTTGTAAAAATTCTACCATAAATATAAATATAAAAGTATACTCGCGATTCGACTCGTCTCGAAATTTGTCTCGAGAAATTAAAGTGAAAACGGGGACCAAAAAAATGAGCAAAAATTGCGGGGCCAAATGTCAAATCGGCTCACAAAAAATGGATCTCACGTTATAAAATGATAGATTGCAAGCGCCTTCGCTTCGGGGGAATGCGATGTTTCGGCTTCGGCGTTTCGTTTCTCGTCGTATCGATGCACGTTTTGCGCGCGCGCGCAAAAACGCAGAAGTAATTGCGTAAGTTAAACAAATATATTCGACGTCACACGCCCGGGCGAACGTGCGCTGCATTTATTCGCTAAATTTTTTTTTTTTGTTTTGCAAGCGACTATTTAGTAGTCGTATAAGTTTTATATGGTATCTCTCGTCTCCTTCCCTTCTTCCTTCTCACAATTATTATTCCAGTTTTTCCAATCTATTATTGATACTTTCGCGCTTTATCAAACTTTGCGCGTATATGTGTGTACGTGTATGTACGCGATAAAAACTACAATGTCCTAAATTTTACTCGCGAAGTGACGATCGCTCTGACGGCCAATAAATCCAGGTCTCCAATTCGCCCGTGTCGACTAGATACGATTTGTTCGTCCGTGAAATATGAAAAACCGTGAATAGAGGCTTCCATACGGTTGTTTGCGATGCACTTCGCTCCGATAATAGTAGTCCGCCATTTATTATTTATCTTTATACGTTATCGTCTTTGCGTTACTGTCAGTCGCCGACAAGGGCAAATATTTAATATTTCTCCATTTGCGTAATTAAATAATTTGTTCTAACAAGACAGTTCGCTCTCGATTTCTTTTTTTTCATGTGTTATTCAATTTAATAAATATCTGAAAATTTTTGGAGAAAATTTAGAAAAATCAAAATAATAATCTTCTAATTATATTTTTTTATTTAAATCGTACTTAAATTAAAATAAAATGTATAAAAAAGATAGATGTAAAATTATAAAAAAATTAATTTATAAATAATATAATTTATAAATAAAATAAATTTATAAAAATTAATTGGGAGTCTGTAAGATAAAATATGAAACATGTACGCTATTGTTAGCAATGAAGCTTGTCCCGATAATGTCTGTGAAACTTTCATCAACCTTCAAAGTTAATAAGGTAACGCTGATGAGCGCCGATGTCGATACGGGCTAATAAAAGTACAGAAGGACGTCCTCGTTTGCACCGAAAAAAAACCTCGGCTTTCGGTTTTTATCTCGCGACTTAATACAATAAAACGACGACGAGGGGAAATAAATACGCGTACTTTGCCGAAGTAACGAAAATCAAAGAGCGTTCAATCGTTAGGTCAGGCTAGATCTCGATATACGCTGCCATTTCCCTCATCACGCTTTTCTCTCTGATCGTTTCAATCTGCATTTTTTTTTTTATTCGCGATGGGACTCTCTCTTTTCGCTCGTCGATGACCGGCCTTCAATTTCGTTAGCGGCCTGGACGAAAATCCCTGATTTTTGGAGGGCCTGATTATTGGACGCTTTATCGATCACGGATGTTTTTTCCTGCGAAAGCGAAATTCCCACCTCCATAATGCACGCGTAAAAAAAAAAGGAGGAAAAAGAAAAAGCAGGACGAGACTGATGGGGATCCTTACGAGTCGGTGATGGATAACGCGTAATCGAATTAAGGGTCGGCGATCGAATCGAATAAATAAAATCGAGGGTGAACGCGAAAATCTCCAGCCCTGTCTTGGATCAGTCGATCTGACGAGATAAACATTTTTTCGGCGTGCAGTACGAAAATTAGGACCTTTTATATCCTTCTTTCTTTCTTTATCCCGCGTTGAATAAAATTAAGGAGATGCTGACCATGACTGTTTTACCGATTTTGAGTTTAAGAGCTTTTATTTTTATTGACTATATAGATTGAAAAATCCTTCTCTACAATTAAAGTACTGATAATAATAAACGGGAGCATTGTAATTTTGTATAAAAAACAATAAAATTAAAAAATTACAGTTTTTTATCGGCCTCTTGCATCAGCTCGTAACAATACTTATTTAATACAAAAGTTCTGTAGTTTATTTGTGCACAAAATATGGCGCTCCTAATAGAGATGACATGAAAGAATAATACAGAAGTAATAAAAATGAGATTAAAAGCCTATATCAAAATATTCTTCAATCTGTATATTCAATAAAAAAATGAACCTAACCTAACTTAAAGTCGGTAAAACAGAACAACGGCAGTATCCCCTTAACTAAGAATTCTAATTTCGCGAAGCCTAGAGAATAGTCCGCCTCTTTGTGCTTTTTGGCCCAGAAGAGGGAAAAGGAGAGTCGGACGCTTCTTCCCTCCCCTTCTCGCAAAGAGGGTGAATTTAATATATTTCTCGTCTTATCTCGTCTTATCTTCCTTTAAAGGCGACTCACCCAGCGGCGAGGGAGCAAAGTGCCCAATGTTAGCCCACTTTTGGTGTCTCGTAGATTTTATCGTTAATGCGAGACAAGATAGGCTCCAGGGGCGAGGCCTCTCTGATTTGTTGGCCACGTGATAAGAATTTATATTTCCCCCTTTGTGCGCTTTCATTAGTCTCTACTGCGCTTTTAATACAAGCATTCGGCTTTTGTGCAACGGAGACAGAAAAAACTCCCGCAAGAATATTTATCCGCGTGTAAACGTCGTCTTTTCATCTCTTTTCGCCGATCGAAAATCGATTAAAGTAAAATTTAATTTGAGCGAATTTACTTACGATTGAGATCCAACGAAATCGAGGTCTCCTTCGGCTCCACCAAATCCGTATTTCGAGCTTCGCAGGTGAAGTTTGAACCAAGATCGGCCCGAGTAATAGGTTGTAGCGCTAATCTGTTAAGAGAAATTAAAGTAGATTGAATAAAAAGAATGTTATAATCACAGGCTAGAAAAAAAGAGACGATTTGCCGCGCATAAAGAAGGTGAATCTTCGATTCACAAAATTTTTGGAAACCACGTATTTTATGCATTTTGAGACGTAGAAATCAAATACATTGAAAGAAATTATTGCTATTATTCTATTTTGTTTATATATTTTTGATTAAAATGCTGTGTAAATGTAAAAATTAATTAAAAATATGTGAATTTTAGATTTCATCATCCCCACTTATATTATAAAATGAAAATCAATGTTTTATTCTGTAAATTTTAACAGATAAATCTTGTCACAAATAAAACAAAACATATTTATTGTGTAAAAACGAAAATAAAGATGCACATTGATTTATTTTTCCATGTTTTTCCAGTTGTTTTAATAATTTAACATTCAAATTCAATTAACACAACAGTAATAATATGTTAAATTAATACATGAATGTTAAATCAGTGTTAAATATTTAATAAGTACAATAAATATAAAAATATAATATGCAATATAAAAATATACCTAATATATAATATAAAAATATAATATAAAAAGTATAATAAAAAGATAAATATTTAGTTATATTTAAAGTGTTAAATCTTTAATACAAAATTTTTAAGCAAAACCGTTCTTAATAAGAAAACAAAATTTTTTTACTGCGTGTATAATTTATCAAAAAAAAAAAATGCAAATTTTTATGCTAAATAAACTTTGTCTTACTTGTTTTCGATCACATCGCCAGCATTATTCTCGTACTGTTCGTCCTTCACCCGGCCATTTATGAGCCATCTGACCATAGGTTGCGGTTTTCCTGCAACAAACACAAGACTTACGAACTTACTTAAAGTTTTAAGCGCCTTTTATCTCTGTGCATGCATGTATATGTATATGTGTGCGGGAGAAGGCCGATAGTTTTAATCTGTTCGTTTCTCTCTCACACACAATTGATTACTTTCCGTAAAAAGTTCTCGTTCTACATGCATCCCTAACCTAAACCAAACCTAACCTAACCTAACCTAACCTAACCTATCATTTGGAGTCGAAAAAACCGAAGTGGGGGAAAAATGGCGGGAGAAGCCTCTCGTATATATACATATATATATATATACTTGTGCAACGAGCTTTGCCGAGGCTCTGCTAAGCGATAGACGAGTTCTCTCTTCGAGAACTTTTAAATTAGTCGATAGCCCCGAGTTTTCCGTGCGGTATGCCAAACAAATACTGGGAGAGAGAGACTTCGGGGGGTCTTTCGAGGCCGCGCAGTTCGATAACCGGAAGTTATAGCTTGGCCAGAGAGAGAGAGAAGCGGGAAAGGGAATAAGAGTAATAAATACGCCGGAATATACATCGGCTCGACCGGGGATGATCAAAGCGATTGAAAAATTAAAAACGAGATTACGCAGAAAAGAGAGAGACTTTTTTTTTTTTATACTCCGGACTCTCTTTCGATTTATCGAAATAAAGTGTGCGCAAAACTCGTTCCCCGTTCTTTGTTATCGCTGTGAGGTAGCTAAAAATATGCCTGATTTCCTGGAAAGAGAGGGAGAAACTAATAACGGTGCAGTTTTGCCGCAGTTTCGACTCGAGAAGTTGTTGAGAATCGATACTCTAGAAAAAACTGGCCATTACATGTGCCGGAATACTTTCTTTACATCGATTCTCTTTAAACCTCTTTTTAAACAATAATATATACTATAATTTATATTTAGATATATATAATAATATATATACTATAAATTTATATTTATATTTAATATATATATATATATATATATATATACTATAATACATATTATAAATATATATATATTTATTATGATATATACATATGTATATGTATATTAATTGTAAATATATTATATATTATTATAATACATTTTATTACATAATAATACATTATTATAATACTTTATATATATGTATTATTATATTTTTGCATATAATATATATATATATATATATATATATATATTACAATAATTAAATATATGTAATATAATATAGGATGATTCATTTTAAGTGATACAGTCAATTATTTAAAAATAAAATTTTTTGAATAAATGTTCTACATAAAAGTTGTAGGATTTCAAAAGGGATCGTAATCTGAGATTGTGTGGTGTTTTTTAAAGTTCTTTAAAAATCAACACGCTTATTTTCTCAAACGGAATTGCCTTATATATTGTTAATAATAAATAAATTTATTCCTGCTAATATTAGAAATTATAAAGATAGGATGTCCAAAAAGTGAATAGTTTATGAGATATTTTATACTTCAGAGTTTCACATATAATATTACATGAACTATATGAAATATCTCTTGTAAAATATTTATTTTCCAATAACCTCAATACTTTTGTGCACAAAGCATAAATTACAAGTATAGCAGCTACTTTTTTTTCTTAAAACCAACTATATATTTTCTTTACACGAGAAACGTTTTATTTTTAAGACAAACGACTGAATCACATAAAACACTCTGTATATATCACATTTTCTGATAATTAATATATTAAAATATCAATAATCAATTTTATTTTTACTCGCGTATCCAATCCTCTTGGGTTGGAAATAATATATTGAAAATTATATTTTAAAATTATATAATTTTTCATTATATATTAAAATTATATAATTTTATATATTTTATATAATTTTTAAAATTATATATTAAAAATAATAATAAATATAATAATAATAATAATAAAAATAATAATAAAAATAATGTTAATAAATAAGTTAATTCGATGCACCGGTATTTATCGAATGTATCGGTATTTTACCGCGATTAGCTCTTGATTATCGCGCCAATATTTGTGCTACCTGGCCGAAGTTGTGGAATACAGATTGCCGACGTGATCAAAAGAGAACCGTAACGATGGTAACCGTGGCCTGCGCGAATACGGACGGAAATAATTCCTCTTACGGGAAATAGTGTCGGTCTCTGCGCAATCTCGCTTCGTTTCATACTTATTGAGGATGTGTATTCAGCTCTCTCTCTCTCTCTGAAACGAGTTTTCATAGATAATGTTACGCGAGGTCTGATCCACATTTTCCGACCGTACGTTAAAAAAGCATCTGAAAGCAATCCGTAGATTCGTGCGTCATCATGAAAAAATATTTTCAAATTAATTATTCCGCCGGTATATAATACGCAATATTTTCTCTTTTTTTGTATATATTATAAGACAGGCAATTTTTTTAGATATTTTACCGATTTTTAATTAAAAAAAAATTTTCAGATAAATTTGCAGGTAAATTATATTATTTTAATATAACACAACTTTGTTGATATAAAAAATGAAAAATGTGAGAGAGAAAAATACTGAAAATTGTCGAAATTATCGAATCATCGGGAAATAAATGTTTTTCTTTTTTCACTAATATAAATTCCGCTTGTTTTACTAACTGTACTAGTAATAAAAAAGATTGTCGGGGGTACATATATATCGTCTATCTTTTGTAGTTTTAACGCGAGTCACGGGAAATTTATCTGGAAGCAAAAATCGATAAAATTGACGGTCGTGAAAAGTTTGAATTTTCAAAATTGTGAAAAATGAGTTTTGCTTTGCTTATGAAAACTGTTTTGTTTACGAGCATATGTGTTTTCAATCAATTCTTCCAATACCACTAGCATCGCGACACATGTTCCAAAAAATATTTAAAAAATTCCATTAGAATTACAAAAATTCCGTTAGAAACGAGGGGAAAAAAAGGAACAATAAACGAAGGTTTATTTTTTATTGTATTGCAAATTGCATAAATATTCCCATTCGCAAAAGGTCAATCTCAATTTAATTTAATATAACATAAACCCGAAATGTAGTTTACATTAAATAGGAACACGTTACGCGCGCGGTTATCAATATTTGTATTTCCTTATTAATTGTTATATATATATATATATATATATATATATATATATATATACAGTTTAATTTTAATCCTTCATCCTCGAAAACATTTTACTTTTTTATTACAACAAAATGTAAAACACAATTTTTTGCAAGAAAAATATGTAGCTGCTAATTGCAATTTATATATATATATATATAATATATATTTTTGAAAACAATTATGTTTTCTTTTATTAGTTTGTGTATAAAAGTATGAAGATAAAATCATAGAAAAATGAATATTTTCCGAAATGTTTTATAATTTTGTAAAATTCTTACTCTTATATATCTTATGCCGAAAATTGCAATTAATTTATATATATAAAAAATATACTGCTTCCATATAAAAAAAACCATAAATGACTATGAGAAACGTTCCTTTGAAAAAAATCAGTAGCGTCATCTTCCGTCCTTCTCCAAATCAAACAACTTTTGCAGGAAACATTTTATTCCGCGATGAAAAGAACAAAAAATTTTTGGGGGATGATCGATTAAAATGGAACACCCTGTATATATGATGTAGCGCGGAATATGTGAAATCGTTTTTTTGGAAAAAACTTTTTTCCCGGCCCACATACGCGCGGCGTAATCAAACGAAAATCGCCGGGAAAATGGACGGTAGCGATTCCTCGAAGCCTCGCGGGATTGCGATGGGGAGGGGGTGGGGGTGGGGGTGGGGGAGAAAAGTGCCATCCCGAATGCCATCGTTTCATTGTTATTCACGGTGGCGCGCGACGTCGGAAACGCAATTTAATCAGGTCCGATGCAACATCGGCGCGGCACTTAAAATTGCAACCTGATCCAACTCTGGAAAACACATAGCGCAACGACGCGACACGACGGCGAAAACCGCCGCGTCTCTCGCGCTTAGATTAGTTCCATATCATTGTTATTCACGATGCCCGCCAATCCTGATTGCGTTTTAACCGTCTCGTTGCTTCTGATTCTCATCGTTCTCGCAGCGCTCCTGCGCTTCTTTTCCTCGCGCAACGTTGTATTGCCGCTTTATCTCTCGAAATTAATTCTATTATGTTTATATTAGGTCTCGCCTGAGAGAGTTTACGACTCTTTTCACGGATACGATAAATAAATTGGAGAGGTAAAAGGTATTTTTATGAATTTATCTCCGGATCGGATTTATCAACGCGAGAGAGTCTCATATTTGCGCATATTCTGTTCGTTTGTTTTTAATTAACTTTAATAATATTTTCATCATGTCGATATATAAATATAATATAAAAGCGCATAAAATGACATATATTGATTGTTTTTCCACAACGAAAATTAACCAACAAATTATATCCCCGAAACGTCAGTATAAATTCGATATTCTCTTAAACAAAATTTTTGTTATTATCATTAATAAGAATAAATGATAATGTCAATTAATAAGTAAAGAGAATAGCGAAATTTCACTGAAAAAAATTCTGTGATGCTTTTCAGAAGAGTCTACTTGACGAAACGTCAGATGGAGGTGCAAAGAGCGAGTGTTTCACTCAAATCTCGTCCGCTCAATCCGCGATATTTTTCCTGATTCCCAAAAATTGCTCCTCTTTTTTTTAATTAATCTTAATAATATTTTAATCATGTTGATATATAAATATAATATCAAAGTACATGCAATGACGTATATCGATTGTTCTTTCACAACAAAAATTAATCAAGTGACAAATTCTATCCACGAAACGTCAGTATAAATTCGATACTCTTTTAAACAAAATTTTTGTTATTATCACTTATAAGAATAAGTAATTATGTCAATTAATATATATATATATGTAAAGAGAATAGCGAAATTTTACTGAAAAAAATTATCTGATGCTTTTCACAAAAGTCTAATCGATGAAACGTCAGATGAAGATGCAAAGAGCGAGTGTTTCACTGAAATCTCGTCCGCTCAATCCGCGATATTTTCCCT